TTCTGCTTAATCTAAAAGGAGGGGAAGGACTTCCGGGGCGGATGAAGCAATTGCAAGTACGGTATCATTACTTCGTCTCAAATTTCTACAAAGAGTTCTGCGAATGCCCCATTCCAAGAATAGTAGCGTCACGAGTTTTGATCTTTATTTCTAGAGGAGACATTTCACCAATTCTTTGCTTTGCAGGTTACTGGCAAATTCCAATCTGGATACAATCCGTTCACGATTGGATGTATTGGAAATATACGGCGAACGTTGTGCGGTAGCCAGTTCCCGTCGTGAGTGCAGCTAGCTTCTCTTTTTTTTCTGGGAAATTCTGAAATTTTCGTCTTCAAAGGCAATGGGCACAATGGCTGGGAGCGGCAGTTGTCGCCAATGTCATTGGTAGAAGAGCTGCGTGGGGTGTGGCCAGACGCCCTCTCCCACCTCCCCCCGACCAGTGGCACTGGCGAGCGAAAACCTCCCCAGCAGCAGTCGTACCTACTGTCTTTAAGTCTGTTTAATGAAGTGCTTGTTATGTATGCCGATCGGTGATGATTAAGATTCACCAAATATGAAGAAGCCGCTGCCAAACGAACCCGAAAGAATCGCTCTGCCGTGGAAGACGTAAAAGTGAATGGTGCAATGAAGAAAGGGGTATGTCATTGTATTGTTTGTTTGTTCTGGTTTGCTTTCATTTATTTGTGTAATTTATGTGCACTGCTCGGCCAGGGAAGGGCATTTTGCTCGCTCACTAGCTTCGTTTGCTAGTCACTAATAACCTATACGCTACAACTTGGTGAAACCTGTAGCTTCTCCTTGCCACGTGCAAATGGTGCTCTACCATTGCAGAGCTTTTCAGAAATTTACAGGTTTCCTAGGGAGGCAACGGCAGTGATTAATTGAAACCAGCAAAATGCCCCACCAAGCCGAACTGTTCCGAAATATTCAAATTTCTGGCTTTAGTGGTGTCATTGGCCCGGTTTTGATGCATTTTTATAGGATACTGATGAAGTTGATGAAACAACTGTGCTGTATGTCCCTGATAAAGATGGAGTGAAAGACGGCCATATTCGGGTAATTTTCATCTTCTCGAAACTTTTTAAATGCTAGAATTTTCTAATTCAATTGGATTTTGAATTTCAGTTAAAACAACTACGATTGGCTGATAGCCAATCAGTTGGAACGTCTTTGTCGCTTACCGGAGCAGATCCACCTTCTCAACGAGATCGTGACGGTTCCACGTGCAACTTGTTTGATTCAGCTCAAGGTTTGTCACATTTGTTTGTACTTGTAACATTTTTGAACTACATCTTTCTGATATGTTTCCGTTAGGGATTGCCAGTGAACGGGGTCGTAGTCAGGGTACAGCATCGTGATGAGTGAAACGGTAGTGCCAGTACAACACCCCTTCCACCTAAATGAGGGTCTTGGTACGACCCCCCCCCTCCCTTCCCCAGCACTACCTTCCAATTTCCCACCCATGTTTTCGAATTTTTCTCCCAGAGATTTTCCGTCGAGCGGAGGGAGAGGGGGGCTATATAGCCAGTGTGAAGCGAGAGAATTTCTTAAATTAACCCCCACTTCCTACCAATTTCTCCGGAAGAATCTTTCCATTTTTCCCCAGAAATTTCGCTGTCGAGCGGGGAGGGAGGGGGGGGGGGGAGTAAGATAGTACTTATGAAACAGAAAAAAAAACGAGCGGTTACAACCGCGCGCCCGCTGATCCCGCAAAATCTCAACCACCGGCAAAATTTTTTTCGCAGACGTCGGCAAGTTTATTTGTCAAAAGCACATCACGATCCCCCCCTCTATGATGTCTTCAGCACAACCGATGCTCTACCACACCCGGTCAACCACACACACACACATCACTCTAACCTGGTCATAGTTTGCCGTTGTAGAAAAACATTCTTAGTGTTGTTTGACTGTTAACTCAGTTTTTTTTCCCCGCTACGTCCGCCCGCTAAATCCTCCCCTCCACCATCTGTCTCACTGCGAGGGTCCGGAAGTATTTTCTCACGGCATCTACTGGTTCAGCACTTGAAAGGAGAAGGCAGTGGAGGAGGGAAGAAACGAAGGAAAAGAAAGAAGGCGGAAGAAAAAGGAACGAGAAAGGAATTTTGCACTTGACAGTTATCCTGAGAAGGTCCACCCTTCCCCGCTCCACAGCAGTTTTTCGAGGGAAGTGTGGAGGAATCCCCGGGAAAATTGCGGAAGGGTTGGAGGAAACCAAGAAATTAAGAAAACCTAGGAGAATGGTGGGAAAGCGGGGTATTGGAAAGGGGGTCACACCAAAGGGGGACCTTTTGAGGAGAGTCTGCGCTGCAAAAATTTTCACCGACGACAGGCCGTGCTCAGTTTATGTCCTTCATTCTCAGCAAATCTTCGATGAGTTTATGTAATTAGGTGTCCTTTCATAACAAGGCCTACACCAGTCTATTAGAATCGGGATCAGAATTTTATTATTATTTTTCTCATAATATCCGACGCTCTTTTACAGACAGTCCAAAAATGAATAGTCCAATCTCATCGCCGGTGTCAGATGCTTACCAAGCTAGTTTCGAGGAAGCAACTCGTGATGCTATAACTCCCCATAAAGGTAAGCCCGTTATAAATTGTTTCGTTCGCTGGCTGTTCGTCACTGATTTGCTGATTATGCGCTGTTATAGTATTAGGTTGTCCGGAAAGTTCTCAGCGTTTTGAGTGTTTCACTTTAAACGATCATAACTTTCTTAATACTCATCGGATTTAATCGAAATAGGCACCGTTCGAATCAGCACACTTTTGCCAATGTGACACCAGTCGATAAATCCCATCAAAGAAAAAACTGGGTGGTCGAGAATCCACGAAATCCACGAAGGTTTTTTGCCTGGTCCTGATTGATGAAGTATTTTCCAGCAAGGAAGTTCTGAAAATGTTTGAAAAGGTGATAGTCGGTTGGTGAAAGGTCTGGAGAATATGGCGGGTGAGGTAGAACTTCAACCCCCAATTCGTTCAATTTATGGATAGTGATTTGTGCGGGCGTTGTCATGCAAAAGAATCGGACCCTTTCTGTTGACAAGTGCTGGCTGCAGCTGACGCAATTTTCGGTACATTTCGTCGATTTCTTCACAGTAGGACTCTGCTGTGATGGTTTGGCCTGGTGATAAAAAGTTATAGTGGATCACACCAGCCGATGACCACCAAACCGTGACCAGAATCTTTTTTCGTGAGGGTTCGGCTTTGAAAATTACCTCGGTGGTTCGTCGGAAATCCAACCACTGTCCGGAACGTCTCCTGTTATCATACATGATCCACTTTTTCATCACAGGTGACAATTCGGCCCAAAAACGGGTCGTTTCTGTTGCGCAAAAGCAGTGAAGAAGAGACGTGCCAATTTCTGCCGGTCACTCAAATTGTGGGGCACCCACTTGTCGAGTTTTTTCACCTTCCCAATGCGTTTCAGACCATCTGCAACAGTGGATTTGCCAACGCCTAGCTTTTCTGCAATCTCTCGAACTGTTTGGGATGGGTCAGCCTCCACAAACGCCTTCAAATCCTCGTCAGGTATTGCTTTAGGTCGACCGCTACGACTTCATCTCCAAGGCTGAATCCCCAGAACGCAATTCATCGAGCCATTGTCGCACGGTACTTTCACCAACACTAATGGGCCCCCACATCTGGTTTATTTGTCGGACAGGCTGCCTCCGACCGTTGATTTGACACAATTTTAGTTGCCCGAAAAAATATTCGTCTCAGAAGTTGCTCTTTTGACATGCTTCAAAAAGTCCTGGGGAAAGGGGGTTCATCAAGCAATGGTGAAACGGCAATCATACCATCAGATAGCGCAAAAAATTCTCTTCAGGATGTACTACTGAGACGCAAGGGAGAATGAGTTTTTAATCAGCAATGAATGTACAAAAAATAGTAACACAAAAGCAGTAACACAAAACGCTGAAAACTTTCCGGACAACCTATAACATTACTGATTTTTTTGCTCAAACAGGCTCTTTTAGTTATTTATCTTATCTTATTGTATTTATTTATTATCATGCACGCATACGCAGTTGCGGCTACAATGTCAACAGATATCATGGCAACATCCAGGTAGTATATAAAAGAAGACAAAACAAAAGAATACAGCAACACAAATACACGCAAGTAAGAAACCACTCCAGAACTTAAGTCTTCTCAGAAATCATGCATGCCTATCAAGCTCATTAGGTCAACCTTCTTCAATTTACTTTTGAACGCATAGATGTTAGGCGCCCTCTGCAGGTCTGGTGGAAGAGACTGGATCCATCTCGCTCCTCGGAAAAATAGTGAATTAAAAACCTGGGCTCGATGCCTTCCCTTCAGTTTAGGACACTGCAAAGACAGCGAAGAAATGCGGCCATTTGTTGGTCTGAACACCCAGTATTTACTGGGTTTCAATCTTAGCTCTCCTTTCAGTATCTTAAAGCAGAACACAATATCATTAAACACCCTTCTGTACAATAATGATTTAAGGTTGAAAAGCCGCGTAATCGTTCCCTATAGTTGGGTAAGCTCACCTGGGTATGCAGGGTCGGGATAACACCTGTACATCAAGATTCTAGTAAAAGTTTGCTGGACCCTCTCAATTTTTGCCTGAAGTTTTTTGGTGTAGGGACTCCATAGTTGCGAACCATATTCAAGTAACCAAGGTCTCGCACTTCATCAGAAATAGCAATTCGCATACCGTCAACTGTATACGGTACAACTCTAGCCTCTCCCATGTGAAGAACGAACGTTTTCGAAAAATACACACAGGGTATTCCCCAATCAGAAGCCCACTCCATAATGTTATATATGGACTGAGTTAGCGCTTGGTGGACGCAGGCATGATTGTCATTATCATAAACGCCGTAAATTTTTATGTCGTCTGCATATATTTTATGTTGCAAATAGATGTCTATTAATGTGTTGTTTTTGTCGCAGAGTCGTAGCTACGAAAGCAGATGAGTGCGAAAAGGTGCCGAAAGCAGGTTACACCAATTCAATTTTAATTTTGGGTGCGAGGTGAATGAAAACAACGGGTAGAGGGGTAGGAGAACTCACTGAATAGGATTGTTGTTTAAAGATTGAGTTCTTTTTGTGTTCTCATTACGGAGTGCCTTCATACTTCGCGATTTGAGCGATTCAACCGCGTGACCGTTCTTTTCCGGTACTCTTGGACCGCTGCAACTGTCGACAGGAGTTCCACTGTCAATATGGCTTTGGATATGCAGTAGCAGTGGTCCATCGATAAGCGGTGGACGCGCGGTTCGTTATAATCTCCTTGTTACCGAGTTACGCGACTGAATCGCTCAAGGCGCGAAGTATGGCCGTAACCATTGCACGGATGTGGTTCAATTTCCTGGAATCTGCTCGGAGAGGGGAGGGAAGGGGGTACCACTTGGCTACGCCTCTGTATCCCTTTCCCAAAATGGCATAGGCTCAGAGTACAGACGACCAGAATTGCCGAGAGACTGCCATATGCCAGTGCCAAAAACACCTTTTCACACACTGTGCTAAAATCCATTCGACGGTGAAAATGTTTTCAGATGCTGCCATCGCCGCCTCACAAGTTCTCAATGGAGATCGTTCTCGTCCGCGAGGATTCGCGGATGCTGTTCGTATTCACGATCAGCTCAGCTCACCAGCGAAATCAGTGGCGTTGTAGTAGAAGAGCTAGGAAGCCCTACGTGTTGTGCTTCAGCACCGCTTCGGACGGCCCATCCTGAGGGCTTCTGATTCGATAAAAGGATTTGTCCCGTGAAAAGCGTCACACATTCTGGTCGGGTAAATAGTGTGCTGCCTCGTATTCTCTCTCTCCCAAGTCTCATTGTGAACTTATCGCCTGAAGTCTATCGTTATTAAGCGTTTTTAAGCGCTAAGGTGTTTTTGGCTAAGCTTATCGCGACGGTTGACGATAACTGGAAGCGAGCTCTTCCTTCCTCTCTCTTTATTGACGGTAATTCGAACGAGTCGAAAATTCTGGAATATGTCGTTGTGTTTATTTGCTTGTTATTTTGTCGTCTTTGATGATATTATTGAGTGTTGCGTTCTTTCTGTGCCAGTTTGCAATTTTTTTGAACTAACCTCTATCGCCTCCTAATCGATTTTCACAGAATATTTGTTCTCGTTCTTCAATTGTATAGGTTTTCCATACAGATATTTTCAAATTTAAATCAGATTTGTTGGTCGTATTTTACTCCTTTAGTTCAGGAGATCTACATGGTGTCGAGTCTCCTAGCTAGTTGACTCGACACAGCACTTTGGCGTCAAATCAGTAAGGTCGTAGTGGACTAGGTACTATGTGCTTTATTTCACGACCATCTCTCAACAATTGAGAACCGATGGTTGCTACTTCATCCTTTTCAAGTTTTGAGGGTAACGGTGAAATAGTAGCGCTGTGTGCCCCAAGCTGGGAAACTGCATTTTTGCGTGAGATAGCGTGCAACTTTCAAGGAAGAAGAAGCCTGGAGTGGGTGAACGACCTATGATTCGTGCAAAGTTGGACCTTCAGGTTTAGCTGGATCCAGGCTCATTTTTTGCCCTTCAAAGATACAGGCCACTTCGCTACGCAAAATTGCATAGTGCACTCTCTTCCCCCCCCCCACCCCCGAAGGCGCATCACTTTCAGGCCACGTTCCTTATTCATCGGTTTTATTTTTAGAATGGCCATCTTCAATTAATTCAACGATCCTCGAAACTTGAAATAGAGTGAGCAGTCCATCGATTATCAGTTTTTAGATAAAATATTTTTCGATAGGCCGTGAAGTATAGCGTGTAGAACGTAATAAATAGAGTTGACGTCAAAGTGCTGTACCTAGTCAACTATCTAGAGCTGGTTTGCGCGCGATGTCGCGACTCAGATCTCCTGAAATACTCCCGTAAACTCGCATGCGGCACATTGTCTGACATTTGCTGTTGCAGTGTTTCAGAGCACGTTCATACTTCGCAATTGCTCGGTTGGATCACGCTGGCGAAGTATGAACGCGTTCTTACAGTTGTCCACGTTGCACGCGACTCGACACCGGCCGGGTGCGTGCTTGGAAACTGTAGTCCAATGCAACGGATAACAGCATTTCCACTGTTTTTCCCTTCTGAATGAACCCAAATATCCCACTTTCCCTGCGGAATATAGCGCGGTTCTTCACGAGCCATCGCGGACATCTCTCACCACCCACTTTGTCATCCTTTAACATGCACATACTGGTATTTGTTTGTTCTTGTTTCTAATTGTCCTCTACATTTGTGATGACCGAATATATGTATATATAGCCCATGTTAGCAAAAGTAAGCCGAGTCCGAGTCTGTCGGTCTCAGACGCGCGCGGTCGCGCCGGGCGGACCGAGCCGGCGTGTACTGCGGGCAGGCGGACCGACCGGGTGTACTGCGGGAGCCGAATAGTGGCCATAGAGGCTGTGTGGGCTGTATGTGCTACAGTGTAGCTCTAAGCTCATCATTACCGACATCATTCATTTTACTCAAAATCTATCATTAAATGTTAAATTTGTTCCTTTGGATCGTTAACGTTCATGTCGGATATGGCTGAGAATTTATAACGTTGTTTCAGTTGTTACAAAGCGGCATATTGTGATAAATTGTTATCTATTTGGAGATATTTGTTATATTGTGCTCTTTATACCAAATCGAGCTTCGGGCGTTCGTTGAGGAGTGGGGAAAGGCTTGGCGTCGCGGAAAATGCACTACAACTGTTACTGTTTGTGCGAAAGACGCGCGGTTCTGATAGTCCAACCGGGCCGCGTTCAGACTTCCTGCCGCGTTGTAACATGCGCGGACGGATATCGATCGGCGCTCGCCGCTTGCGTTCCGAGAGAGCATTGGATAACATGAGGGTAACAGGTAGCTTTCAAAGAGCCTGGTAACCTCATTCTTCTATACCCTCTCAAAACACAAGCGGCCGGCGCCAATCGATACCGGTTTGCGGCCCTGTTCCCGTTTACGCTATCACAGTGGTAGCGCGTCGACGCGCATTGCAGCGCATCTTCGCGAAGTAAAAACATGTTATGTGACGTTCTAATGAGCTAATGTGTCACGTACATGTTAGTAACCGGTATTGTATACTTGTCAATGACGTCTTACGACACGTCATTAACGTGTTCTGTGACGTTAAGGCTCGTCATCTATCCCTTAACAGCTTCTCAAAATTCGAGAAAGGCCTTCGAGTGAGCACGTTGGCCCAGGATTTTGTTGTGGGAGCAATCACAAGTGTCATGAATGACTGATTACCCAATCACACACCCTCAAGACCTGCTCCACTCGACTCTAAGCAGCTGCGCACATTAAAATTTCGGCCTCAATGCCGAAGGAACTGGTCGGAGGGATTTCTGGGAGAGATTTGGAGGGGGAAGTAAAAAACAAAGAATATGTTGACAACCTTGTGGGAAGTTTCAGAAGAATAGTAACGGCAGGATATATTTTAGAAGAATAACAAACGACGGGGGTGGGGGGGAGGCAGTGACTGCGCTCAGATTTGAGTTTTCTAGGGAAAAGGAGGAGGCTCACGTGGCAGGTGGTCATATCTTATGCACGTTGTTGCCATAGTTTCTTCCCACGATGATTCTCGATAGTCGCACTCTTATATTCACGCTGGCGATGGTCACCTTTTTTGACTTCTCTTGGACACCCTCTTTTACTAAATGGTTCGGGGGCGGAGGTGGGGGGGGGAGGAAATCTTTCAAATGGAGTCGTTCTCTTGCAGGTGAGTTCATTCAACGGATTCACTCGTCCTCAATCCTGCGGTCACTTGTTTTTGTGCGTTGTTTTCTTTCGAAAAAATGGAAAAAAAGCCCAAACATCCATCCTTCTCATAGAAGCTGCTGCTCTCCAGAAAACAGCTATTCATAAGCCTTATTCCTGAACGATCTCACGCATTATTTCTCTTTTGGGGCACTTTCCAAACGGCTCAATGACAACAGAACGTCTCAGGGCACACGTCAGCCGGAAAGCTTCTCCCCTCCTTCCTTTTTTCTCCCTCCTTCCTTCTTTTTCTTCCTTCCTTCTCTGATCCCTCCTCCTTTACCTTCCCCTTCAACTGCTGGACTGGTAGATGCCCCGTGAAATTAGCCCTGGACCCTCGCAGAGATCGACTGGTTGACATCTGCCCCGTAACCCAGAATTGCCACTGATGGACAGTGAAAATGCGCTCCAGTGCCAATTTTGCGCGAGCAAACTCGTCCAATGACTATTCAACTAAGCCCTGCAGTCCAAACTTGCATGAGCTGTTACAGGTGGCGCTGAAAATCATTATAATCGAAAACCATCGCACTGATGTCGAGAGTGGGACAAATCGCTTCGTCTAAATCGGGCGTATGCTTATTGCTGATTCGGCGCTTAGGTATGTAAGGGGAGGGGGACACTCCGTGCCACCTTAAACTTAGTTAGCATGTTCTGCAAGAATGACCTGTGACTCCGAATGAACCGAATCGCAACTCATGTGTTGCGCGTGAGTTTGCGTGCTTGTGTGCATCCACGGAACACATCCTATTTCACGTCATAGTGGTATTTCCACGAGACATCTACCAGTCCATTAGTTGAAAGGAGAAGGTAAAGGAGGAGGGATCAGAGAAGGAAGGAAGGAAAAGAAGGAAGGAGGAAGAAAAAAAAAAAGAGGAGGCTTCCCGGTTGACAAGTGCCCTGAGACAGAGGCCTCCCAAGCGTGCGTTCGTTAGAGGAAGGGATACAAAGGCATTAGTCCTCCCTCGATCACATCAGCGCCGCTGATTTCTTTCTCGAAAAAGGGATAAATGTGTGAAACCAAGCGAATAATCCGGTTTGTGAGAGCGTCGAACCCTTTGCGGGCAGCGTCGGGACGAGTTGTCGCGTCACCGGCGCGATCGATAGTCCGGCGGGTGAGCGTCGCGGTGGCGCGGGGCCGTCAAATCTCGTGTGGCTGTCGGTTGGCGCTTGTGTGTGGACTGGCTCAGCGCTTCTTTCGCAGAGGGTTGATCTTCCGGATAGCCCTGCATCCATCCATCCATCCTACGAGCTGTCAGAAGTCTCCTATCGCCACTCTCATACGCGATTTAATCGCGAGAAAACTTGTTTTTCAATAAGCTCTCTCTCACAGTACTGTTCTCGAAATTATGGTCCGCGTATGCAGAGTGGTGCCAAAAGAGTGAGGAAGTTTTTTTGCAATTTCTTATTAAAGTTTATTTTCACTTTTTCAGTCCTAGTTTTTTCAATTCTTTCCCCAATATATTTGGCCTGACGCCAATTCACAGCCTTTTCTAACCACAAATGCTCCAGCATTTGTTTTCTTTCGTAGAGTCGACTAGTTGCCTTCCTTGATGATTTCTTGGTCGATTCTTTTGGATTTTTTCTAAATCGCATATATGAACCCCCAAATATAATTGGTGTTGACTTGTGGCGGTTAGAACTGCTCAGTTTCACCATGCCGAACACCGAGAACGCGTTTATGATGAAAATTGATTTGTAATTGATGTGAGTAGCTTAGGAGTTGTGATTACTGGGATTTTCTTTAGATGGACGAGGTACTCAGCACTTGGTGGGGTCATACCGCGCACGCGGTTCATCGTCTTCAAAACACCTCTGAACGATCGGCTTCTCACCAGGGTCGATCCAACGCAGAGGTTCACTGTCAGAAACCTCATGTGGATGGTATGTTTTCTTGCTCGCTCATGTTGAAACTTTACTATTTGGTTCTTTTTGTGAAATCAGTGGGGGAGTTGCTGTTAAGATTTTCCTTTAGGCTGCCGTCACACATTGCGCCAGCGCTTTGAGTGACTGGAAATATCGCTCTAGCGTTTTGAACGCAGGTCAGCTCCTTCAGCAAATGCCCGTGAGAAGTTCAAAACTACCTGTGAAACGCTCAAAACGCTAGATATACCTAAACTTTCCTAGTTGCTCAAAACGCTGACACTAAGTATGACCGCAGCCTTAGAGAGAACCCTGAAGCTAAATGGTCCATGTTTCGAAACAACAAAAATTTTAGAGCGTTTCAACTTTTCTTAGTTACGTTAGGATGTCCATGCGGCATTACGAGCAAACCGGCATTCCTACCAGGATAACTCGTCATAACCCTTTGACGTCAAATCGAGGGGAGGGAGGGGGTCGTAGCAACCCACACCCTGCACCCCTTATCACAAAAAAACTCGTGAGTCAGAACTTGCGGTCTTCGCTCTCAGATTCTAAGGACCGCTGTCAGACAATCACATGAGATAATCGTCGTCAGCTAATCAAGAGTTGCGAGATAAGCTGTATAGGACGTAGGCTTGCACGACCTAGTTGACTCAACATGCTGCGTTGTCTCAACTATCTAGGAACACTAGTTGCTTCACACAGGATGCCATGGCTCGAATCCCCTGAAATATACCCCGATGTCCGTGCGTGTGAGTCCCAGTTGAGGGACTCAAACTCTTTGGAAACCTTGTTGAAAGGGAGGCGCCTTTAAGTCCCTTCTTACCCTACCTTGACCAAGGCTTAGGTCCCACGAAACGCATCTCTCATTAGAATAGAATGCGTACTACACCGCCTATTCGGCCACCGGCAGCTCGTTGCGTTATCGTTACGTCACTTGCTGTTATGGAGATGTCAGACTCCGTCACTGTTGCCGACCGAGGTCCACTACAGTGCGATAAAACCGAAGATTTTATCGCATTGTAGTGGACCTCGGTCGGCAATAGTGACCGGAGTCTAACATCTTCATGGGGGTAACCGGTGGTACCGGACACGATTTGGACACCATCTCAATTTCATATCAATTTATTGGACCCATCTCAATTTTTCGTGTGCACTTTCAAAATTTGCAACAACAAGAGAACGTTAAAGACATGTGAAAATAATGCACAAGCACATCAATAGGGTATCATGGCGTGCCAAAGAGATACTTACCTCTTGGTTCCTGCTTTCTGAAAGAAAACTGAATAAATCACGATTGTTTCAACGGTGTAGCAATTGTTAAGATCAGATCGCTTTTTCAGTTGGCTGAACGCGGACTACGACTCGGTATGGTTGTTGATCTCACAGACACGGATCGATACTACGATAAAGATGAAATTGAAGGAATGTGCATTCAGTACCAAAAAATAAACTGCCCAGGTCGAGGGTAAGTTACGGAGCGTCTCAGTTATTTTTTGTAAGTCACTCTCTCTCCATTGGCTAAATCAAATTTGCACTATTCTAGCTTCGTGGGAGAGGACTGAATGTGTTGCTGAATTCAACAAGGCGATTCAAGACTATATTGATAGTTCTGATGATGAAGGTTCGTTCCTATTACGTAAACGAGTTTTCTTCTGCATGAAAGCTAATGGCACCTTTAACCTTCCATTGAAAAATATTCGGTTGCTTATTCATGCTTATGAATATACGTTGATGGGCAAAATCGTATCGCTTAGGAAATCGCAGAAGTGAAAAGTGTTTTGACGAGAGGAAGCATTAACAAAGACGAGATTCGACATCACGGGGAGAGAGAGGGATTTTATAGGCTCCTGTTAACATAGCGGACATTTTGTGAAGTCCTGTAAACTTATGCTTGCTCCTCTGTATGCATTTGGAGGGTTCTTCCCAGCACCGAACACTTGTGTGCAGGCCCCGCCTACTGTGGGCGTAGCTATTTGGCCCATGCTTGGCTTAAGTGCTCCATGCATTTTCACGTAGACGCTGGTTTATATGCGAAGAAGAGATTGTCCATCTTGTTCACGGGACTTTACGAAATCCTAATCTTTCCTATGTCGGGCTACTTTACCAAAAATGAGTCTGAAATGACCTAGAGTTTCAGCCTTTTTTACATTGCACTGGTATACCGTTTCGAGTGTGCGACCATTTTTGAATAGCGAACTATGCGATTTCTGTGATGATTGTGAGGTTAATTTTATTTCAGAAGCGCTTATTGGTGTGCATTGCACAAATGGCGTGAATCGCAGCGGATATTTGATTTGTCGGTTCCTTATCGAGCGCCTTGGGTGGTCGTCGCACGAAGCATTAGATGGTACTTTTTCATTTTCCTCATCTGCATATTTCATTCTAACGGAAATATTTCCTAGCATTTGAACGTGCAAGAGGCTATCCAATCGAGAAAGGTTCGTACGTGCAAGCATTGCATAAGGCAGCAATCGAGAGTCGCAACCGAAGGTGAGTGAGGGGAATTGCTCCACCACTGAAGCTGCGTTCACACTTTGCGACCTCCGTTTCGCTCAAAACGCTGATTCTCCCAAAGCGCCAATAAAATTCAGCGTGAAATGTGGCCTTTATAGTTGCAGTAACTTTAGATCAAGGCTTTTTATATTCTAGGGATGTTTCCGATAGCGACTCTGAGGAGCGTCGACGAAAATCGAAAAAGTCGAAACGAAAGCGCGAAAGAGAAGAAGCGTCAAATTTCACTGACAGCGCCAGTCAGATGGGAAATATCATGCAACAGTTCTTCGCTCAGCTACAAGGAGCTCACCAGGTTCGTTCGAATTCGCCTCTTGACTGTTACAGCAAGACTTTTAATGGTTACTTCAGGCCGCTGAATCCGGTAACGGATCAGGTTATGAGGGTTCTCCTGCTCAGAGCGGTAGCTATGTTGCTTCACCTGCTCAGCAACATTGGGCATATCAAACGAAGGTATCAGAGATACTCAGCTGTACGTTTTCGCATAATTTTCTATTTTTTCATTCAGACTCAAGCTGTAAATCCGTCTTATTCTGATAGTCCAGCCGATCAAAGCATGCAAGACGAAGAGATGGAGGAGGGAGAGGTTGGCAATTCTACGTTCGGGTATTTGGAGGCAGGGTACAGCATCGTTGTGTGAAATACAAGGGGGAGGGTGGTCGTACATTCCCGCTGAGGAGGGGGGGGGGTCGTATTTGGTCGTTGGGAGAGAATGGGAGTCGTATGTGCGTTTGGGAGAAATTTGCTGCGTTGGGAAAAAGTTTTTCCCGGTTGTTAGGTTTTCGCGTGATTTTGCTTGTTTCGTGTGTATTATACACCCCCTCCCCCTATTCGACAGCAAAGTTTTTGGAGAAAAACAGGTAAATTGTCGGCAAGTTCCGGAAAACTGGTTGGAAGTTGGGGGTATTTGAAGGGAATTTTCCCCGTTTCACATTGGCTATGTACCCACACCCCCTCGACGGAAAATTTTGGGTGAAAAACTGAACTGGAAAATGTGGGACCTTGGTAGTTAGGTGTTGTGGAAGATAGGAGAGTCATATCGTATCTCGGGGCTCTCATTTAGGTGGGGGGAGGGGGGTGGGGATCGTCGGGGGTCATACCTGTTATACACTACCATTTCATACATCCCGATGCTGTACCTTTTTTGGAGGGGGACTTGGGTGGAATTCAAGACGTTCAAGGCTCGCGCGAAATAGTAAGCATTCCTAGTCGATCAACTCGACGCAGCACTCTGGCGTTGGATCAGTTACGTCATGGCAGCCTACTACACTATTCAGTTCACAGGCTCATCTCGGAAAACTGGATAATCACTTAATTGCTTTTTATGCTACCTACATAGCTGAATAAGCAAAGGAAGAGTGAGAAAGTAACTGGTCAATTATCCATTTTTTTTTTGAGATAGGGCCGTGAAATGAACTTCTTAGGACGTAGGATGTCATTACTAAATTGACTTCACCCAAAGTTTGGGATATCCGAAGTGAAATTTTGGTTTAGGATGGAGAAGTTGGCGAAGAATCTGAAAATGGTGCGGAGCAGTCACAAGTGAAATCCACCGCCCAGAAGCGTCGTGATCGGCGAATGAGAATGAAGAATATGCTGTCGGTCATGAAACGTGGTCGCTTCCATGAGATACAAGAGATGCAGCGCGAATTTGTCGCTAGAAGTGGGACGCAGTGAAGTCCATAATAAAATGCTGCTTGCCGTACCGATGCCATCGTTCTGCCTGACCCTTTTGATTCCTGAAGTGCGAAGAAAAAGAAACATTGAGCTTCTTCCATAGTATGTCAGTGCGTGCCGTGGTAAGATACTTTTGTAATGTAGCGTTAGAAACGATATTTTGCCGGTTTGTTAAGAAATCTGCCGCGTAGAATCGCGCGGGCTAGCTAGGATTCCTAACTAATTGACCCGAGAGAGCATTTTTACGTTCATTCAATTAGGGATGGAACTTGCGTATACTGTTCATCCACGGTCATCTCTTAGAGCGGTTCAGATTTTGCAGACCAATCGTTTGGGTCGCGCGATCGGATCATTTGAGCGTTTGGACTGCGGACCACAACTGGGGCGCTCCATTGCCAAACGGCGCACCGTCACGACAGCAGAATGCATGTTGGAATCGTTCATGCACTGCGTGAATGTGGCCCAATTTGAATTCTGCTGTTGAAAAGGTGTAGAGCCCCTGGTCGTGGTCGCTTGATTCAAACGCTCGAGTGGTCCGATCGGCGATCCAAATGGTTGGCTCGCAATGACTGAATGCGCTCTAAGAGGTGGCCGTAAAGTAAATGGTATAGGCAGACCGCCGTGAGCTGATTGACTGGATGCAAAAATGTTGTCTCGGGTCAATCAGCTAATTATACTAGTTGGTTTGCGCGCGATGCTGCCGAACATAACATTTCCTGAACCACACCCCATATTTCGCTTCTGGTGCGAGAAGACTTGGCACGCGCTTACATTTTGTGAAAAGAAGCCTTAGAATTATTACTAAATAAATTAACAGCCTACTGCCTTTTTGAAAGGTCGTTAAAAGACTGGATGGTTAATCTGATTAGTGAGCTGCGGGTTTTTAATTTTGTTGCTTAACCTCGTATCTGTATTTTTTTGCAAATTTTTACTTTGTTATGTTCCGTTTATCATCTGGTACCTGTGTTTCATTTCAATTTTGAATAGATTATCATCAAACAGATGTGCTTTTTATAGTTCGATGTTTGATGGTGCCAGTGCAAAGATTTCTTGTCCTTTTTTATGTTGATTAGTTGTTTTGTCAATTTTTGATGTTGGTTCTCATAAAAATGGCCTGCTAAAGTTTTGTAAACCCTACTACTAGCTAGAAATGCCATTTGCTACTGTATTAGACGAAATGAGGCAAAGAAGTATTTCAGAATCTTACCGTAGTTCAGACGCGATGGGTTTACCTGTCATGCCTTTCGATCTTCAGCAGCAAAGGAAACAGTACCGTGCACCTTTCAAGGTAAAAAGACCTTCGAGTAAAAGTTTTTAGAACCACCTTACCAATGGTTGGGCTTCAGTTTTTTTTTTGGATTTGCTCTGGAGAGCAAGCAAAGAGATGGCGCATTTGGGACGTTGTCGGGACGCGTCTTGCTCGCTGGGTGTAGCGATTGTGTTGGAGGGGTGCTTTGGAAAAGCAGCAACGCTTTTTCTACCAAATATAATACAAATGCTTCTCTGATCAGAAGCAGAGACAGTGAAGAGCAAGCCTCTTTGCAACCAACTACATGTGTGAAACCCGAAGTAGGCCAACCCTGGTTTTCGGAGAAGGACCAAAATTTCTTCGGGGTTGTCAGGAGTCTGGAAAGTTTTGAGATGATCGGTAATGTATCGCGCAGATGGCTATTGCTGGTCCAGAAATGAAGGGGTTACAGGACCGCGAAACTGGCTATACATCTGGCTGCCACGGAAACGAATGGTGTGAGGTGTGGGGAGGGAAGGGAAGGTATGGTTCGGTTAGCATTTTTCCATAGATTCTACTGAACAAATCATTGCATGCACAAATGTCCGGAAGAAAATTCGTCGAAAAATTGTGTATACGTCCGGACCACAGCTGTGACACCCATAGCGCCAGCGCCATTTGGCGCCTGTGCTGCGCTGAATGGAGTCTGTTTGGAAGCACATAACAAATGATATAGGAATCGGTTTGGTTCCGTGATAAGAATCGCTTTTGTTTTCTAGACAAAAGATTCAAAGGTTGTAGGATGCGCCTGTGTTCGGACAAAAGTTATAAACTCGTAGCAACTCAAGGAAATAGAATTATGGAAGTGCAAAATTTTGTCCCTGGGGAGATTCGAACAAGCGACCTAATGTTCACTTTTCCTGGTATTCGAAGTGACGCGCTGGAAAAAATCACTTGCATTTCTGGAATCACGTATGATCCCCTCCTTTATACATAATCCGTCTACAAAAAGCAGCCCATGAGCCGGAAGAGCACCTCCCTCCTTGGAAGGCCAGCTCGCCCTTGCTGATGCGGACCGGTGTGAATGCGAACTGCAGGTTTGTGGGCGTTCATATAACCTTAGAACGTCCACCGCAATATTTCTCATGTTTGAGTTTTTCACCGAGGCTGGCGAATAGCTGAGGACGTATGTCAGGCGATTCTCGCAACCGGTCATTGTTCTGGTGTAAAAACATTGAAGGGGATTGCGTTGGTGTTAGTGAAGCTATACTTATGAGTTTTTGTTACCACAACGCTTTGAAGAGTTTTTTGGGTAAGGAAATAGTCCATCGTGTTGGGTAATTAGTTTATATCCAGGTACAATTTGTGCAGTGGAATCCATGTTCGGATTTGTTAGCACTAGCATCTCGAAAAGGCGAAGTAATGGTAAAAAGAAATATGTGGAAGCGATGTTGGAAGGTAAATCGCCCCTTAATTCTACTTCTGTTGTCAATTTTAATCTCAGCATGAACGTTTGCGATTAATCAGCGTTCATACTATACACCGCAATGAAAGCGATGCGGGCGCAGTTCGGCTTGATGGGGCATTCTACTAGTTCCCTCCGATCACTGATGCCTCCAGTAGAGGCCTGTAAATTCCTGCAAAGCTATGCAGTAGGAGGAGCTTTGCTTACCTTTACGTGAGCCTACAGATTTTACCAAGGTAAGAGGTGTAGGTGAATAGGAACCAACAAAATAAATTTGGCGAAAATGTCCCTCCCAAGTAGATGCCGATGTGATGCCTATCGTCATAGTACATCTCACGCTTATAAATACATCACTGTTCACGTAACGTACACTTGAGTAGGACTGTGATTGTTGCGCGCAAGCATGTAGTTATCGTAGGGCCCTGCCATAAAATCTAGTGTGGCAGTTCGCTTAGCGTACGTAATGCGTACGTGAAGTACGTCTCGATTCCATAAAAAGGGACCTCTTTTACTACGATAGACTTCCTGGAGAAGATCAGGTGATGCAGGAGTTGGCATTTTGCATTTTTACTCCTTCCCATAGTCATGTCTAGCCATCAATTGGAGATCTGTAGAATTCTATGAAGCCACGAATTTATGCCAGTAAAAGTTTGTAGAGACTACTTTTCAGCTCTTGCAAATCATTACAAACCGTCATAAAAAGTAGCGAAGGTGCAAAATTCCCCCCCCCCCCCAACCCAGACTACGCCACTTCTTCTTTCGCATTACCTCCTTACTAATGAGTTTCTTCAGCTGAACTTATCGGAAGTTGCCGCTTTTCCTGAAAATCAGTGCAGCAAACCGGCATGTATTGAGTCGATGACATGGTCACCTGATGGTGCGATACTCGCTGTGGCGATGAGTGATGGTCATTTACATCTGATTGAAGCGGAACAGGGCGTAGTCAGATGGTCGAGAAAGTGAGTAATGATTTTTTTTCCACGAACACAGTGCATCTCAGGGTCAAAAAGGACTCCTTGAGCATCTTATGTGCAGTGTAAAGTAGTTCCAAGTAGCACTGGCACTGATGCGACGAAACTAATAGAATATTCCTAAGGGCGTGTTAGT